GGTTTCCTTAATTACTGGGCAGCTTTTGGCTGCTCAATAATAAGCAGGTTGTGCTGTAATTGGTGTGGTGTATCACCGAACAGTCACTGAAAGGCAACATGTTCTAATTATACATTTATGAGAAATGTCACTGCCTTATCGCACCAGGGAGAGATAACATCTCCTTGTGCTATGCGCTGTTAATGTGGGAGCAAGTAACAAGTCTAGGCCACCCGTGTATTCTCTTCCCATGATTTTCAGGATGTTCCAGAAGCAAGACTGTGCGCATATACTTTTATTGACCCTCCAGAAGCTAGGACTATGGATAGAGAACGCTGAGTGATTCCACCACCACCCCCCCAGTAGTTTGGCAAAGGTGTCTGATGCCCAATTGTTTAGTAGTGGCAGCAATGGCAAAATGGCATAATTTCCCATCTAAATTAGGCTGAAGCAATGCCGAACGCTAACCAGGGATGGATCTACACACAGGGGGGAAATGCTATAAATAACTAATAAATTAAATTGTTATAATAAAAGAAAAAAATCTCTGTGGGAAATTGTGTAGAAAAGTTTTGTGCTCTACAGCGCCATCTGGTGTTGCATGTTTGTAACGCTTTTTAGATGCTGTTCTGTGTTGTTGTTTTTTCTAACGTAGCTGAATCCCAGGAGTGGGTTTTTCAGTGCAAGACTGTGAGCGTAGTTCAGCCCCAGGAACTGGGCTCCAAAGGTGCTCAGAGCTACCCTGTTCTTTAATTCTAACTGTATGTCTTTGGCCAGGGCCAGATTTAGGTTTGATGAGGTCCTAAGCTACTGAAGGCAATGGGGCCCTTTATATGTCCAGCTGTCCTTCGTCAACAACAAATTGTCATTTTTTTGTGTTGAATATATGCTATATGGTAATTTATGGACCTAATAGGTATCTAAAGTCATTTGCACATGCAGAATATAGGCACCCTATATATAGAAATGAGCAAACCAGTGATATTTTAGGAAGCAGGCTAGCAGGCGGGGCCCATAACTTACATCATAGAAGCCTACACAACACAAAACACTGTTGCTGTATGTAGGTTTTATTTTATTTGTTTTTTATCTTCTGTTTTGGAAATGTACATCCAGATTTTTTCCCTTTATTTTTTTTTGGGGGGGGCCCAAGAGAGTGGGGCTCTAAACTATAGCTTGTTTAAAGGTAAAGGGACCCCTGACCATTAGGTCCAGTCACGTATGACTCTGGGGTTGTGGCGCTCACCTCGCTTTACTGGCTGGGGGACCTGGCGTACAGCATCCGGGTCATGTGGCCAGCATGACTAAGCCGCTTCTGGCGAACCAGAGCAGCACACGGAAACGCCGTTTACCTTCCCGCCAGAGTGGTACCTATTTATCTACTTGCACTTTGATGTGCTTTCGAACTGCTAGGTTGGCAGGAGATAGCTTGTTTAGCTTCTACATAAATCTGGCACAGCACTGTCTTTGGCACTTGGCTCCGGATGGCTTCTAGTAATAAACTAGAATAAAAATATTACTGGCTTCTGGTAATAAACAAAGTAGACCCATGCAGTGGGAAACAGTGCAACCAGAACTTCTTCCATCCATTCCTTGCCAAGTCCTGCTGTTGCCCCATCTCTCTCCCTCCACAAGTATTGCACAGCAGGCAAAAGAGGGAGGTGAAAGGTGACAAGACCAGAGGCAAAACAGTTTGCAAATGCATCTGGGGAATTGAAAAGGCGTGTGCACACTCCCTGGGTCTTGACCCGGCAGCCCTATGATTCAATACATTCAATATAGCATACTGCCTGCGTGCCATTAATATAGAAGAGCTTCCAAGTATTTCCTCCAGCTTCAAATGGTTGTTTCTTTAAGCCCATGTACAAGAAAATCAGCAGCCACAGAGCTGAGTACAGGACAAATCTGAACTTTCTTGAGTTGTGTTTTCATGCTGCCCAAAAAGACAACAAAAGGTGAGCAGAACGTTGGTTGAAAATTAAATAAATGAAGCAAATGCCCCAAAGCAGCCTTTTTTCGGGGGGGGGGGGGGAGACTGATGCCAACCACATAAAACAGGCAACGCTCACATACTGCAGTGCCGCAGTGCCAAGTGCAGATCTTCTCAGATTTTGCAAGCCGTGCCAATCTTTATTACATGTTCTCTGCATCTGTAGGCTTCTTTATGTTGTATATGGTGGTCTACACACTCCTCTGAGCCTCTTTCTGCCGGTTGTTTAGCCTTAGCAATATCCAAAGTACTGCAATGAACTGACAAGGTAACACACAGTACAAAACTTTCCTGCAGTTGAAAAAAATCTGAATTTTTTTTTAGTTTTTGAACCAGGCTCCCACTGGCTGTGTGTAAATCCAAACAGCGTGATATTTTCAGGATTAAGTCAAAGTATTTTGACGTGCTGTCTTTGTGTATGTAATTACTCTTTCTAAATTCTCTCTTGCATGAAGGTAGTCGTGGTTCAGATTGATTAACCTTGACTGTGGACTGTGAAGGCAGCTCCTTCCCTTCCCCCGTCAGCTGGGCCGTATTTGCCTTGAAGTTTCAGATATCCAAACCATTCATGGGCTTTTGCTTCTTCTCCCATCTCTGCTGTTAAGAGTGGATGGAGAAACTCAGCGAGCACTTAAGCAGCCAGCGGTGCAGTCAATAATCACTTGGCATGAAAGAAGCAGCTGAGCAAGGATTGGGGAGTGCAGGGAGCTACCAACCCCACAAAGGGTTAACATGCACTTGTGAAAATGAGTCACTATAATCAAATACCAAACTGAGGCCTAATGGAACATAGGGAGCAGCATTATACCGAATTAGACCTTAGTTAGTTAGGAGCCAAAGACAGGAGTGCCTGGCATGCTGTGGTCCATGGGGTCACGAAGAGTCGGACACGACTAAACGACTAAACAAACAAAGTTAGGAGCCAACTACTAGGGACCGAGATCCCTTCGGACTTCCCAATAAAATATTTGAAGACCCAACTCCAGTTGATGGGCATTGCCATTCAAATGATGTGCCTTGTGATGATGAAGAAGAAGAGTTTGGATTTGATACCCCGCTTTATCACTCCCCTTCAGGAGTCTCAAAGCGGCTAACAATCTCCTTTCCCTTCCTCCTTCACAACAAACACTCTGTGAGGTGAGCGGGGCTGAGAGACTTCAGAGAAGTGTGACTAGCCCAAGGTCACCCAGCAGCTGCAAGTGGAGGAGCGGACGCAAACCCAGTTCACCAGATTACGAGTCTACTGCTCTTAACCACTACATCACACTGGCTCTGTGATAGATTATGTGGGGCAGGGCTTACCTGCCCGCCCCTCGTGTCAAAGCATGGGGGTACCATAGGGGAGGTTGCCCTGGGCCCAAAATTGTTAAGGGTGCAAAATACAGCTAGGCACTTCAGTCGCTGGATTACATTGAAAAAAGCTTCTCCCTGTGAACCAGGAAGTGACCTCTCCAGACAACGAAATGACTCTCCGTTTCTTATCTCTATGGCTGCGATCCCCTGGGTGATGCAGATGCCCTTAGGCATACTTCATCCATTTCCCTGCCACTCACCCACACTCTGTGTGGCCCCGGGCACTGGCAATGCATGCTATGCCACTCCCCCCCCCATATTTCATTCAAGCTGGCATCCCTGCACCTAGCTTTATATCATTCACACTGACTAGAATCAGCTAGCCAGGTTGTCAGACGGGTTGGGGGTGGGGTGGGGGGGTCTCTTCCAGTCCTGTGAGCATAATAGGACTTGTTCTGAATAAGATAAGAAACATGGGGAGCTGCCTTTGTCTTTCACACCATCAGCACATCTAGCTCAAAATACTCTATCTGTTGACTGGGAGTGGCTGCCAAGACCATATAACAGTGGTCCTGAAAGACCTACATTGGCTCCCAGTATGTTTCCGAGCACAATTCAAAGTGTTGGTGCTGACCTTTAAGACCTAAACGGCCTTGGCCCAATATACCTGAAGGAGCATCTCCACCCCCATCGTTCAGCCTGGACACTGAGGTCCAGCTCTGAGGCCCTTCTGGGGGTTCCCTCCCTGCAAGAAGTGAGGTTACAGGGAACCAGGCAGAGGGCCTTCTCAGTAGTGGCGCCCGTCCTGTGGAATGCCCTCCCATCAGTTGTCAAGGAAATAAACAACTATCTGACTTTTAGAAGACATCTAAAAGGCCAGTGTGGTGTAGTGGTTAAGAGCAGTAGACTCGTAATCTGGGGAACCGGGTTCGCATCTCCGCTCCTCCACATGCAGCTGCTGGGTGACCTTGGGCTAGTCACACTTCTCTGAAGTCTCTCAGCCCCACTCACCTCACAGAGTGTTTGATGTGGGGAAGGAAGGGAAAGGAGAATGTTAGCTGCTTTGAGACTCCTTCAGGTAGTGATAAAGCGGGATATCAAATCCAAACTCTTCTTCTTCATCATCTGAAGCAGCCCTGTTTAGGGATTTTTTAAATGTTTGGTGTTTTATTGTGTTTTTGGTGTTCTGCTAGGACCTGTCCAGAGTGGCCGGGAAAGCCCAGCCAGATGTTGTTGTTGTTTAGTCATTTAGTCGTATCCGGCTCTTCGTGACCCCATGGACCAGAGCACGCCAGGCACTCCTGTCTTCCACTGCCTCCCACAGTTTGGTCAAACTCATGTTCGTAGCTTAGAGAACACTGTCCAACCATCTCGTCCTCTGTCGTCCCCTTCTCCTTGTGCCCTCCATTTTTCCCAACATCAGGTCTTTTCCAGGGAGTCTTCTCTTCTCATGAGGTGGCCAAAGTATTGGAGGCTCAGCTTCACGATTTATTATTATTATTATTATTATTATTATTATTATTATTTCTATTTCAAACAGGAAGTCTCTCCCATTCTTACCTGGGAATGCTGAGTACAGAGTCTCAGGCCTTCCCTTATCACTTTCCCCTAAAGGGTGATGCTGGAATAACATCATTAGCTGCATGCTTTAAAAACAGCAACAGATGTAGCATAGAATTGTGGAGCTTTTGGAAGGGACTCCGAGGATCAACAACACCCTGCAATGCCTGCTCACAGCCATCCCTGGGTGGGCTTGAACCACCAACCTTCTGCTTAACAGAAGGTGCCAGTGCCAGATGCACTGACCGGTTGCGCCACTGGGGCAGTCAAAGGATTAGGCAGCAGTGGGGTGTTTAATTTATTTCTCCAAAGGGGAAAGCACCTAGACGCCCAGGCATTTTGTACAATCTCAAAGGCGCTTTGTTATACAATATATTGCTTCATACTCGTGTTCTTTCTTTCTTTGTAAGGGCATGGCCCAAGATGGGAACAGTGATGCTAAATGGGCACAGTTCATGGAGAGGAGGGGTGGGGCTACAACACTAAGACTAGAGTCACCTGCAAGAGATGCCACTCGTACACACACACACACACACACACACACACACAGCTGAAAGGTTAAGACTGAGAAGGGAGAGATTTGAGGATTAAAATACAAGAGTCTTGGAAGAGCTCTTGAGTCTTCTGACAGTGCCTGTTTGACCAGACCAACACGGGGCTGGTTGTTACTGGATTGCACAACTTTGCTGTTGCTTGCCAACTGCTGTCATGAGACGGATTGCTCTACCTACTGTGTGATTTACAGCCACAGCTGTCATGTTCAGCCTATGCTTCTGACTTTGAGTTGGTGCAAGGCATTATTTCAGGAAGGGAAAACAACCTTTGGAAACCTTATGAGAGCAGTAAACTTGCTCAGCTATGGGGACAACAGCTCTTTTATTTTTATTTTTTAAATACTTTTCAAGTTTATACATTTTGCTAATTTGACAATCATTTTGACATTTCAAAACTTGGCTTCCTTCCCCCTCTTTCTGCGGCTCCTTAAATTTATTTTTCATATCTTCTGCATATCCAAATTAACTTCATTTGCTCATTTATTCATCTTCTTTAAATATATACGCTTATGAAACTGCAGGTTATTACAATAATCCTGCCAATGTTCTTATCTGTCAAGGAAATAAACAACTATCTGACTTTTTGGAGACATTTGAAGGCAGCCCTGTTTAGGGAAGATTTTAATGTTTGAAGTTTTATTCTGTTTTTAGTCCTCTGTTGAGCGCTGCCCAGAGTGGCTGGGGAAGCCCAGCCAGCTGGGAGGGATATAAATAATAAAATTATTGTTGTTGTTGTTGTTGTTGTTATCTGTTTACAATTTATCTGTAAATATTCAATAAACTATTTCCATTATTTTATAAAAAGTTAGTTATCTTGATTTCTTATTCTTCTGGTAAGTTTTGCCATTTATGCATATTCCACAAGTTTTTGTATCCATTCTTCCTTTTCTGGGACTTCTGCTTCTTTCAGTTTTGGGGCAGGTAACATTCTTGCCGCTGTAGTTGCATACATGAATAAGTTTCTATACAGTTTAGGTAGTTCGAGACAGACAGCAACTCTTCTGATCATAGAAGATCGCAGCAGTTACTGCGGTTAAAAACAAACAACTTTTTTAGGATTGAAGAAGCCCAAATCAAAACATTATCCGTTCTTCAGTCAATACACAGCTCTACTGAGCAGGCCAGGCGTCTGTGCACAAGCACTTATTTACAAAAGTAAGCTGCGATAAACCACAGTGGCACATGTCTGAGGAATTCAGTCTTTGAACATTCCTGTACAAACTAGCCTGATCCGCATCTCCTGGACTGAGGTGCAGATCAGAACATTGTTACCCTCTGACTTTTGCACTCCTCATGTCAAAATATATCAAAATGCATTTGAAAATGCATATTGTGTAAGAACATCCGTTTAGGAATGCATTTTTAAAATTGATTTTTGGGGAGGGGTGCAGATTATGTTTTCAAAGTACAGTGGTACCTCGGGTTAAGTACTTAATTCGTTCCAGAGGTCTGTACTTAACCTGAAACTGTTCTTAACCTGAAGCACCACTTTAGCTAATGGGGCCTCCTGCTGCTGCCGTGCCACCAGAGCAGGATTTCTGTTCTCATCCTGAAGCAAAGTTCTTAACCTGAAGCACTATTTCTGGGTTAGCAGAGTTTGTAACCTGAAGCGTATGTAACCTGAGGTACCACTGTATAAATTAAGGTGGAAACAGGATGGAAGGGATTTATGAATGAACACAGGCAAAAGTGACACAGGTTGGAAAGACATAGATTCATTCATCCCTATGGCAGCTCTTGGATTCAGAAGCTTTGCAGCTAATCAAAAAACATGCAACTTGATGTCACCATTGTCAAGGTACATTTTGCAGGTGTGGCTGAGCCATTGCAGCAATGCCACTGACAGCATTTTCATGTGACCCGGCTCTGTCACCACAGTCACAAAGCTTTTCAGTAGGATAAGTTCACAAAGTCAGCTGCCGGTTACTAAGTCAACAGTAATGAAATATACGACAACCAAGTGATGTGCAATGTATGATTGAATCAACCTGCCCTTATTTTACTGTGCAATATGGGGATTTCATTTGCCCTAACTGCCTTTTTAAAAATCCAACCGTTTGCCTTGCAGCTCATGTAAAGAAAGTTCATTTATCCCCTTCAGTGTTGGGTGGCGCTGTGGGTTAAACCACAGAGCCTAGGACTTGCCGATCAGAAGGTCGGCGGTTCGAATCCCCGTGATGGGGTGAGCTCCCGTTGCTCGGTCCCTGCTCCTGCCAACCTAGCAGTTCGAAAGCACGTCAAAGTGCAAGTAGATAAATAGGTACCGCTCCGGTGGGAAGGTAAATGGCGTTTCCGTGCGCTGCTCTGGTTCGCCAGAAGTGGCTTAGTCATGCTGGCCACATGACCCAGAAGCTGTACGCCAGCTCCCTTGGCCAATAAAGCGAGATGAGCGCCTTGACCCCAGAGTCGGCCACAACTGGGCCTAATGGTCAGGGGTCCCTTTACCTTTTTATCCATTAGCTACAGCTTGTAGGTAGGTAGCTGAGATTATGCACATTAAGTGCTTTGCTTGGAATATGCTATATAAATACCATAGATTATTAGAACTCTGCTAACACATTAGATGCAAAACAAGAAAAAATCCAAAGGGAAGCTCAATTTCTAGCCATATACAAATGCTTTCTTCTGGGAAAACAATGATCCTGTGGAATCCTTCTATCAATTCCATAAATTGCCCAAGAAATTAACTCTTTGGTTTCTTTGGCTGTGAGCAAGCCCAAAATGAAGCATTTATTAAGCCCCACTGGTAGTCAGGAGAGAGTTAAGTATGTGCCTAAATCTCTCCCAATAAGATTGAAAAGCTTTTCATGTTGGCTGGAAGGAGCTCTTTGTGACTTGCCAACTTTTTTTGTTCCTCCTACAGTAACACCTAGAAGTTTTCAGCTGGAGCCAAAGCTTTATTGTCCTGCAGCAGCAGAGAGCAATTCATTCTTGGCTGTCTCTAAACTCTTAATTGAAACGCAGCTCAAACTGAATGGGGATTATGGGTGGATTCCCTCCGTTCCCCCAAAAAAAGAAAAAAAAAGAATTGTCTTCCCTTTGGTGCTATAGCAATTGTTTGATGTTTACACATTGACACTTCAGCAAATGTTTGGATTAAGTGTTGTATTCCTGTTTAACACCCTAGCTGGGGGTAGCGGGGTAGAATTCATTCTTCGGATGCCTGATAGCCTTAGTTCTCACCTTGTTAACTTTCAAAAGGGTTGCTGCTGTCTCTTTCAGGAGAGCCAGAATCCTGGAGCTCCTGAAAGATTAACACACATTATTGTGGCTTTTGTAAGCTAAAAGCAATTTCAACTGCTTTGATCTTTTTATAAACTGGTTTGAGGGTGGTGGTTGTTGTTTTCTAATCAAGTGGTATATACATTTTATTCGAGAAATAAATTAGATGGTCACTGTGAGAATGGGATACTGGACTAGATGGACCATTGACTCAATCTAGCAGGCTCTTCTTACTTTCTTAACACACAATTCCACATTCTTGATCTGCCTATTTCAAGCCTTCTTGCTGACTGCCAATAGTAAAACAGATAGTAATGTACAAATTATAATGTAAAGTGAGATGCGATTTCAAGATGAGGCTGGAATCCTATGAGTACATTTATTGAATACATATCGAATACAGTTGGATACATATAGAAAAGTACAACATTTGAGGAAAAATACATTTGAGTAGAAAAATACCCATTCAGATACATTCTTGATACATTCTAAAAGTCAGTGAGAAGGATACAGCAAAAACAATACAATTAGATACAGTGAAAAACAATACATTCAGAAAAATACATTCCCCAACAGCGAAAAACGATAAATTCAGAAAAATACATTCTCCAAGGCACAGTTTACATTCTTGTAGGGTGTTAAGGCAGAATACTATATTTTGATATTGGTAGGGTCATTTTCCTTTATTCCCCTCTCTAACCCCGATTCTCTTACGACACATGCATTGGTTGGTTGCACTGTAAAGTGGTGGTGCTGTAAAAATTGGCATTATCCATGCAGTAAGCTTTCCATTCTTTCCCCCTGTAATGTTTAGGAACACTTATCTAAGGATATGATCGTGTTGTGAATTTTCCCACCTCCACTGCCCTGCTGTACATCTTCAGCAGAAGAAAAGGCTAAGGAGCAAACCCTACACAAATCTGGAGTGAAGTTCTGAAGACAGTTAGATGACGTCTGATACGCTTCCTTCTGGCAACTACTGAAACCAAGCTCGTGCCAAACATATTTCTCTGCTTTCCTTTGGACCGAGAGAAGGGTCTTATTGTCTGGTGTCAGGGAACTGCCATCGGAAGGAAGGGAGGTGAAAGGACTCAGACAGGTTGGAAGAGACTCAGCAGCTGAAGAGGGAACCAGCAAGGGGAGAGAAGCTGAACTGGAGACTCAGCAGCTGAAGAGGCAACCAGCAAGGGGAGAGAAGCAGAACTGAGGGAGGAGAAACGCCTCAGACAGCATGTAAGAGACACAGCAGCTGAAGAGGAAACCAGCAGCCCGACAGAAGCTGACCTGAGGGAAAGCGAGCTGGCGGGATGGCTCAGAGATACTTCCAGCGAAAACAGTGGTGAGGTTTCCGGACCTCCTGTAGGGACACCCACTCCTCGCCGGAAACTGTCACGCAGAGAGTCCAGAAGACGTGTTTCCGTTAAGGAGCTTTTATGTTGGAAGCGATTACGAAAGCAACCACTGTCGGAATCTTCTAGTGACTAGAGG